GAGAGCCAAACCAGCAAGTGTCCTTGAAGAGAACAAGGAGAACATTATATGAGACATTAGCTGTGCACAGAGAGCCACTCTCCTCTCCCTGCCGATTTTAAAGCCATTTATGATTTCCAATGTGAAACGTCCAAAAACTTGCATGCATTTTAGCAGTGCTAAGAGTAGTGACAGCATTTCTTTTCTTGGCCAGGACGTGTTTAAGACAGCTTTTCTTTAATCTTGCCAACCCTACGACAAACAATGAGGATTAGTACCTGCAGGATGTGTTGCTTGTGGTTGAAACCGCAGTGCTCTGACTTATGTGGTCTTTTTGCCCATTCTGCCATGGCTGTGCTCCTCAAGTCTTTCCACCGTATTATTCTGGCTTTGCATTATGTCCTTGGCAGCATTTTCCCCAAGCTCCAGACCAAACATTTGGGACCTGCCATCGAAATAAACACACACACGTATTTTTAACAGCGAAGATGGAGCCGTATTACAAAGGAGGACTGTGCAGCGTCAGGGTATGAAGGCGGAAAGGTGGTTAGGAATGCGCATAGGCCCACATGTAGCACCCTTCAGCACCTCTTTTAAAGATGTGGTGTCTCTGCCTGGGCTCGCCTGGCGCAGGACGCATTTGATTTCAGGAGGCACCAAGAGGTGCTACATTCACACCAAACACCTTTTCCTCTTTGAATCTGAATTGCTGCACGATCCTATTACAGAGTAGAGCCCCTGCTTTGCTTTGTACTTTATAACCTTGTGGGTGGTACCCTTCAAAGCTTACAAAAGAGGTTGAGCTTCTGCAAGGACTTGTGACTTTTGTCTTAGGTTGTCTCGCCAAGATGAGATACCCTGGTGAGTTGTGCCCAGAATTTCCCCTTTCCCCACACCCTGCTGTGCCTTCTGTCTCTACAAAGAGAATGCATTTTATCCTGGCAGAAGAGCAAAGAAAGATGCTCAAGAGACTTTCTGGAATGAAAGCAAGGTCCTGAAGGGTAGCCCATGGCTCATCATTTATTCATTTATGTTCTTCTATTAATGAAATTAAAAGGAATTTCTCCAGTCAACTGCTAAATCACCAGCTAGCCAGCCAGTCTGTGTAGATACCTGTAAATTGGCTAATCCAGAACCTTAGCAGGAAGAGGATTCCTATTTTCAAGACAGACCACCTGCTCACACTACCTGTGCTTTTGCTTATTGATAATTTGTTCCCAGCGTGATGTCTTCTGTATTATTCTGTGATGCAGCTATTAGTCAAGAGAACCAAGAAAATCATTTCAGAATGAATGTCTTGGTCTTTTTGTCCTGCCTTGTCTTGAACATAGCCGAGAAGCCATCCTGTCCTTTGTTGTCTTCTTGTGAACCCTGTGCTGAAGTCTGCCTGCAAGGTTTCAGTTCATTTCTAAGGTTGGCAGGGTTTTGTGTCTTCTCCAAGATTGTCCCTTATGATCCTAACCTGGTCCCCTCTCTGGTTCCCATTCCTTTCCTTGAACTGCTTTGGACATCTCTCATCTAGAAAGACCAGGATAAGCTTTTCCTCAAACCCTAGTTCCATACATGGTATAGTGTGGCCACCCTTTGGCCATGCTGGGTTGGAATTTGGAGAATTAGACTCCCATGCCAGAAATCTACTGGGATAGAAAAGTTTTTCCTACACTAGGAGAACCATAACTACAACCAGCGCCTCTGATCATCTTGGGCTCATAATTGGTAACATTTCAGTTTCATCTTTGAATGGGAAGTAAAGGCAGGGGGAATCCCACATGTTCCTTTACTATTGTCATTGACTGTATACCTAAGTCTTAGCCGAGTTATCCTTGCTGGCATTTTAATCCAATCAACCAGGTAAGGACCTTCCCATCTCCCACCAGGAAAAGCTTGTGGAATGTTTTGGAGTAACATAACTAGCAATGGGAGAAATGCCAGGATTCAAGTCCATTTGTAAATAAAGCCTTTTGTTTCTCTTTTTAACAGGGGATGCAGAAATTGGCTAGCCAGTACTTAAAGAAAGAATGGCCTGGTGTGAAAGCAGATGAGCGAAATGATTTTAGGTAATTGTCACCAAGACGTCCGCTTCTAAGGGCTCGCATTTGTGATGTTGTGCTGCAACCGTATTCAGTGTTTCTCTGTCTGCAACTGATCCTCTGCAACCTCTGGCCATTAATGGATGCAGAGGAAAAGGGCCCAACCTGCAGCCTTTAGCAGGTGGCCTTAGACCAGTGGAAGAGGAATTTTTACATACATGACGACATGGCTGGGGAGTAATCGTATTATGTTTTGTGGTTGTAGTTGCAAATTTACATGCCCAATAAATAAAATGTGGGGCTTATCCTTGCCCTGCTCAATAATAGATGGAGCACGATCATCCAAATCAAATCATTCAAAGGTCAAGCTTGCCCTGAGCCCAATAAAAATTGCCTGTGGTGGGGTGTGCCTTAGAGATATGAAGAGTGTAGTAAGACAAGGTGCTGATGTATTGGTCTCCTTTGTTCCCCCAAAATGGTGTCTGTTATCTTGTGATGGGACCACTTCTGTCTAGAGCAGTGTTTCTCAACCTTGGCAGCTTTCAGATGTGTGGACTTCAACTCCCAGAATT